CTGAGAAGGACGCAGCTGTTCAGGGCTTTAGAGGTGCATCTAGATCAGCAGCTTGGACATACGACAAGGTGGTGTATTCCGCATTGCACCACAGCATGTGTGCCACTTTAAAAAATGTATTTTCCCCCTGCAGTTGTGCTTTAGGGTTGGGAGGAGGGTTTCCAGACGCAAGCTTGCATTTCATTAAATGTGCAATCGTTCCTGCAGTTCTGGGTGATGACAGAACTGTGGGTATTCACTCACCCCCCCAGTTTACTCGAGGCTGGTTTTTATCTCTTCTGATAGTAAATTTGCTCCATCACAGTATATTCACTACAAGGTACTCCAACTCATTTTTCTTTTAGTTGATGCTAAACTGGCTCGTGTTCTGCCTTCCATCCAACCCATTTTTTACACTACAATGTATACTTGAGCACAACTGCACAAACCAGCCACACCATTTGGGAGAGTGTCTTAAAGTTGCTGCTGGTTTCTCTGTAGAAGAAACCTTGCTGTTTCTGCCAGGGGCGAAAGTCTATTTCAACCAGCTTCAATCCAGATCGAATCCTTTGCTATAATTTAGCTAGCTAGCTATTTTGTTTTTGGCAAATCATTGTTTCCTCGGTTTCTGATGTTTAGGCTGTATTTGTTGGTCTTTATGTAGCCCCAACAGCCCCATCAGTGCACATGAGTAAAGTATTTATATGTTTGTGGTTCCGCAAAGTTTGCAGAATGATTAAAAAAATAGACGAAGGGAAAGGACTGTGCGTGCATGTGCGCTTGTGCATGCAGAAACAGCCAGTGAGGACTGAGCGTACTCGATAGGCAAAGAATGGCGCCTGTCAATGGGAGAGGAAGAAAACTGGGGGAATAGAAGACTGAACAAGAGCATTCTACACTGCAACATTTTGTTGCAGCTCCAGCGTCTGCAGCTGTATGTAGATTGGTACATGGTGCGATGGGGCTTTGGCTCTTGTGCTTGGCAAGCAGCCTTGCAGGAATGCAGCTCAGCAGCAGTTCTGCCTTTTGTCAGCAGCAGCCGACTTAGCTGATGCCCCAAAGTCATTGTTCAAATGTTGATAGTGGCAAGGTCATTCTTGCCCTGTAGTTAGATTTTCAGATTTTTCCTCGAAATTCTTCAAGCCTGCAAATTGTATTGTCCCTTCCTTGGGAATAGCATGTATGTGGAGAACCAGGTGGTTTAGGTTCCTCTTGGCCTCTCAGTTAGGGAGAACATCCTGGCAACCTTCCCCAACCTTTTGTCTTGCAGATGTTTCTAGCCCTCAGTATTTCTCACCATGCTGACTGAGGTTGAACTGGAGCAAAATGGGTTAGGATGCACGAGGATTGGCCCATTCCCATCTGTGCCATCTCCTGATGAGGGATAAAAGTTGCCAGCTGGCACCCATTCTCAGAACACTGTGGGACTGTGATATGTTTGCAGTCTGTTTGCCAAGTGATGGCTCTGTGCCCGAAGGTTTGCTGCTGTATGAACACTGTGTGAGATGTGGCTTCATTTGATTCTATTTGTAGGCAGATGTTCAGCCTGCACCCAGGAGACCAAAGAACAGGACTAACTTCCTGTTTCTTTACTAAAGAACTAACTTTCTGTCTCTTTATTAAAGAACTAACTTCCTGTTTCTTTATTAAAGTGTGGTCATATATGAAGAAGTTGTATATGAACCCTGATCCTTGGTCAGCAGTTTCCTAATATTTTTTTCAGTTAATGTGAAATATCCAGCCTGTTCTACTCCGGCTTTAAGTGTCCTACCTAGTTTGGGTTTGTTGGATAAGTTGGCAGGAGAAACAAGTGTCCCAATTCACATTTTCCCTTATGTGCATGTGTGGTGGTGAATATCCCTTGAAATCCTGTGAAGTCTGACAAGTCCATGACCAAAGCTGCCATTTTGTTCTGCTCTGAAAGCAGACTTCTTTGATGAGCAAGAAACTAGGACCTGGTTCTCACGCAGGCAGTAAAGCTGTGTTTGATCTGTAGCACTTCCTCTTGCATTTGAAGCCAGCATGAATTTGATTGTTGCTTCATATAAGAAACTAGATGTTGAGGAGAAGGCTATGTCATCTCTTCCTGACATATTAGTTTCCACATGGAGAGATGTTTATTTTTATACGAAAGAAGATTCTACATCCAATGCCAGATTTGATGTGGAACAATTTGTGCAAGTTTACAGCTCCTGTGAAAACTAAGGCCATGCAGCTTAATGTATGAACCATCCCTTTTAAGTAGCCTTGCTCCAGTTAACAAATGCCATTCTCATACCTTCCTTGCTTCAGTTCTCAATAATTATGAAGTAGCAGCCTGAGTCCTGCATATTTATTTCATCTCACTGAGTTCAGTGTGACCTGTATTGGGAAAATTCTCCATGTCTTCCCTGAGGAGTAGCTGTAATGAACTGTAGCAGGAAAAACCACACTGTCTTTATGGACCCTTAAGGATAGACAGATGTATTCTAGCATAAGCTCTCATGGAAACTGCTCTTGCAATCTGCTTTGCTTGACCCATGATGCCAAAGCTAGCCTGTGCTGCCTCAGGGTACATTAAAACTGATATTTGCCCCTTATTCTGCAATATTCTATGTTTAACCATCCTTCTTAAGCAAACTAAGATGCTTGGTATTGTGTGTTTTTAGTAGGTATGTGTTCTGTTCTGGGTGAGTCCTGCAGAGCTCTTATGCTATGAGCTAAGCTAAGTCCTTAGGCAGTTTAGACCTTGTAAGACCTCCAGCTTTCTCAACAGTTTTGCACAGTGCAGTGCTTGCAGACCTACTGCCCAAAGTGTGTTATACTTGACAAGCAGCCTCCATTTTTGACTGCCAGAGCCTTTAGGGAAACTTAAGCCAATAATGAAACTGACTGGATAAAAGGTACTTGTATCCAAAAAAAAGTCTGTATTAAAACTGTGTAGAGAATGCTCTCATTTCCAGAACGCACAAGAGGAAATCTTCTTTTAAAATTGGAGCAGGTGAGATTTCTTAGCCATACTGAGTAAATAAAACTTCAGTATTCAGAAGCAGTCTATCCCATGGAATAAAAAAAATGCTACTAATAAAAAGGTTGGTCATGGTCAGCCAGAGGAACCCGACTAATCCTGCTTGAAAAAGGTCTGCACTAGAGAGATGGCAGGCTTGTACAACACACCAGGTCTCCCTGCAAATAAGCAGTGCGGTACGGATTGTTGGTGGAACAATTCCCCATCCATTTTACAGATAATTGGACTCACAATGGATTATCCTTCCCTCTTTCTCCTTTGGTCCTCCCACAGGTATCCCGAGGGACTCTGCACAGGGCCCATCTTGTCTCTCCTGTCTTTGCTAACCACAAGTCCTTTTTTGTTCATCACATCTTCCCCGCCGTATCCTTCCTCCTCCTCACCCTGTAGATCATCTTTCAAGATCCCAAAATTTTCAGCCAGAGTCCCCAAATGGCACATTGCAGGGGCTGTCACTGGTTTACCGCCTATTTTTATGCTCTTTTTGTGTCCTCATTGTGCACAAATATTTTGCTAAAAGTGTAGCAGATCACATCCATGAACAGAGAAACTGGAAATAGGGAATTGGGTGGTGGGTTTTTAAATTCTGCTTCCCCCAACAGCTGTCAAAAGATGGACTGCCAAGGGAAAAGGAAGGCAAATTAATGGGTGATCATTCCTCACAAAAGGGCATGACTGGTGGGATCATCCCCATCGTAGTGAGAACCCTGCGTAGCCTGGCAAAAATCGCATTTTAAAAGGAAGCCTGAGTTTTGAAACCTAGCTGTCAAAATGCTTACTTCTATAAAAGGGATGGCTCAGACTTCTCAACATTCCTGAGCTTTTAAAGTTTCAGGAAAGAGTGGAAAAGTGCAAGGAGTAGTCAGAATAAGCCCCAGACAAGTATCAGAGGATCTTATTGGCTACCCCATTTCACAAGCAAGGTGACCCAGGGCTTTACAGTTCTCCTTTTTTATTTTGTTGTCAACAAAATAAAATAAAAAAATCTATTTGCAGCCTTTCTGGGTCAGTGTTCACGATTGTTGTCTGCTGCATTTTGGCAGTAAATGCCTCCCAGGATATTGCCTTGATGAGGCTTCCCATTTTGGACTGCACATTTGTCAAGGTACAACTGAAAAAACACAAAACAAAACAAACACACTGAGGGCTCCAAACAAGTGAACAGATGACAATCCTGCTAATGTGTTGCTTTAGCATTTGGGGAAGATGTCATCATCTGTCAACTCTGAGATCACAAAAAGTGATCTCAGAAAGGAAGACAGGAGGAAAAGGAAAAGTGGAGGTGAGCCACAGGGAGCAAAAATGGGTTTGCTCCCTGTGGCTCAGAGAGGACATAACGCAGTGGCGGTTGCTGCACCAAGCCGCTGCGGCGCTGGCTGTGGATGTTGGTGGCTCAGGCAAGAGCAGAAAGGAGATGTTGCTGCTCTCGCCAAAGAGTTTGTTTGCTGCTTCCCTGGACTCACAGCTGGGTCCTTCATTTGCGTTCACACCACACTCTGCAGCCCATTGTGGGCCAATAACCCCTGGTGTATGTCATGGGTCTTCCAGAGCTTGTTACTCTCAAATAAGCCACTGTGTGTGATCTACATTTGCATTGCACCTGCATCCACCATGGCTTGTCACCCACTTTGGCTGTCATGTCTTGTGAATCCAGTCAGAGTTTTGGGCTTGGTAATGTTTGCTGTCTCTCTGCAAAGTGACGTAATATGTGTATGTTGCCAAAGACCTGCAACTCCTGGGATTTCGGCTGCCTCAAATTGGGCATGAGTAGAAATACTTCTGACAAAAGGAGATTGAACGAGACCCTGATCTGTTGTAGTTTGTCAGCCTTACTTTATGTCTGCGTCTCTTGCCTAAGTCCTTTTAAAAATGGAGTTAGTAGATAGGCTTTTTAAAATGTGTTTTTATGGTGAGATGCTATAGAAACTCTTCTAGTGGAACAGTGGCAAAAAAGTGAATGAAATGGAATGTGCACTTGTATGAACTTTTGAAGTAATCAACATTTGTTTTCTAGATCTTGGGTGCTGTGATCCTGGGCTTTGGAATATGGATTTTGGTTGACAAAAGCAGCTTCATTTCAGTGCTACGTAAGCCACTTTTCTTATTTCCTTTCTTGCTGGATTTTTTTCCCTGGGTAGTTTTCTCTTTAAGAGTGAATGTCATATGACGCTTCACTAAATCGCAAAGGGAAATAAAATCTTAAAAGTCCAAACCAGAAGTGACTTCCTGCTAGATTTAGAAGAGCTGTCTATAGCTAATCAGCTTTTTTACTTGTGAGACTATGTCAGGTCAGACAGAGAGCATTAGCCTTGAAGAGTTCCCTTCTGCATGGTAACTTTGGTACAGGAAAATTCTGAGGATAGATTTGGGGAACAGAAACTGGCAAGCTAATATTACATAAAGGAAATTTGCTCTCCTGCAACATATGCAATTTCTACTTTCCGTCTTTGCATGGCTTACTGTTGTTGTTGTTGTTTTTTTTTTTTACCTCAGTCATTGCTGGAGCAATATGTACAAAAAAGTAGCAGCAAGAAAAGTCTGTGCTAAAAAGAGAATTAAACCAAAAACCATCTAGTCCCTTTTTAATGCCAGCAGCCAGTTTTAGCCCGCATGAACAGTGACCCGATTTTCCCCCTGTGGTCTGGAAGCAAAACCGATAACTCTATGTGCTGAATGGCTCAAAAGTTTCATACGTGCCCCTTTTACCGACAGCACCACTGTTCCTGCTGGCTGTTCTGCTGCCAAGGACTTGGAGGCTTTGGGTGTGGACTCCCTTTTAGCCCCATTCTTCTCCCTGTAATCGGACTGGGCATGCAGAGGCTTCAGCTTCCTTCCTTGAGATTTCCAGATGGAACCTTTTGTCACTCTCTTGTTTCCCCTCCCCGCCTCCCTTTTTTCTTTGGTAACCTTAACAGCAGTGTCTGAGAAGGAACTTTGCACAGCAGGGCACTACATTTTGCTGCTGGAGAGGCCTCCCTCCTTCATTCTCTCATGTTTGTCTGGCTTTTTTCCCAGAAAAGCCAGGCCGGGGAGGGGGGAGGGGGAGATGGTGCAAGTGGGAGTGGAAGCTGGAAGGCTTTTGCCAATCCGGTCTGTGAAGCCTTCCTCCAAAAACCAAGAAATGCTGGAGATGAGGCTGAGTCCAGGCTTCGTCTTCCTGCCGTGGTCGTCTTGAAAGCTTTGCCTGTGGCAGCAGAACATCGTGCTGGCTGGGGAAGTGCTCTGTAGAATGCCAGTGTTTTTGAAGATGCTGTCAGGTTGGCGTAGCAGCTGCCTTTCATATAAACCTGATGCCTGGTGTAAATCTCGCACCTTGCCCTTGCAAATACCTTGCAAATAGACATCTGCTAGACCCTCTAAATTCTTTCAACAGTCTTCCAGCATGGAAAGATTGTACTAGACCCTTGCATACTTCCTAGAAATCCCTGCAAAAGCTACTGTGGTGTCCTGGAAGTCTGCATTCTTATTTTGGAAGCTGGAATGATCCTTTCTGCTCATCCCCCATTTGTTACAAGCAGGACTTGAATATAACTGAGTTGGATGGGAGGTTATGACAATAAATAATTTTATGCAACAATTATATAGAAATGTGGGAAGGGGAGTGTAGAATGTAGTATTGGCTGCAAAATTCAGCTCCTTTTATAATCTCAACTTGCTTTCTTTTTCTTTTTGAAAGAAAGGCTGTGTTTCATACAGTGCTCAAATATAGTTTAGTGTTACAACCATGATGCACAGGTTTCTGCCTGTTATTTTCCACAGTGAAACTTCCACTTGCAACTAACCATGGTTTATCATTCTATTTGAACTGTGGTTAGTATTAACTTTTAGCCTGGGAAATACACACTGTATTTACTGACTTGTTTCAATAAATTATGATTAATACTTCTGCCAGTCTGGGCAGTACACCCAGTGGATGTTGGTTGAAAACACACGTAGATGAAAATTCACCCATCTTCCACCTCCTAGAGATGGGGGATGCCAAGACCATGAGCCTAAACTATATACAATCAGCTATCAGGTTGTAGATTGATAATATCAAATAAAAATGTTTGAACTTCCATCACACCTTGCACATGTGACGGAATTCAGTTGTTCTTGGTACAGAACTGAGAATACTGGGGCATAAAATCTTTCACACCTCTCTTAAAGTGAGCATTTGTAGTCCCAAACAGTTGTTTTGCTTTACTCGATCCAAAGGTTCAATCTTTTGCAGACTGGGGAACACTGAGAACCATATGATCCTTTTCTGTCTAAATTTGCACAGGATTGTGCCCTTAGTGAAGGGACCTCTTTTTATACTTTTGTACATTTCTCTCTTGGTTCCCCCAGAGACTTCATCATCTTCGTTAACGGTTGGAGCATACATTCTCATTGGAGTTGGTGCTGTCACGATGCTGATGGGGTTCCTGGGCTGTGTTGGAGCAGTCAATGAGATTCGATGTCTCCTTGGGCTGGTAAGTGATGCAGAGAAATGCTGCCTTTGGTGATTTCCCCCTTCTTGCACGTCCTGCCTGAGTGCTCTTGCTGAGTGTAGTTGGACTTCAGATCAAGGCATATAGGAACGCCCCTGTGCCATGCAGTCAGAGCACCACCGAAGAACTCTGCCAAGACTAGTGTATACTGACATGTCCTAGACTCATCAGCTCTTCTCTGGATGGCCCAGTCTTCTGAAGCGAAGTAGGTAGCAACTGTGAACAGGACCTTTTCGGCTGTGGCACCCTGACTGTAGAACACCCTCCCAAGAGGGGCTCTCCTGGTGCCCCCTCATGTGCATGTTCAGCTGCTGGGGATAGACCTTGTTGAACACAGTGGTGTTAGCCAGTTCCCTGCTTTGATTCTGATGTGGCTGTTTGATTGATTAATGTGGTGGTTACAGTGTGGGGCAGGGTGAAGAAGCCTGTTTTATGTGCTTGCACTTGCCATCTTGTGAGCCATCTCACTGGAGTCGGGGCTGTCTTTTTACCTTCTAAAGAAGTCAGAACAATATGCAGCACCCGTATGTGCCCCAGCGTTAAAATGGTGACCGTTCCGGTTGGTCTGTGGGTTCCCTTTTGCATAATGAAAGAGAGGCCCCTGCATAATTGGGGAAGCTCCAAAGTGCACTGCAATTAATACTGACTGGAGGGGTCAGGAGATACTCTTGCACTAGTTCCGGCCTGTTCAGCTTTCCCGTGAAACTGAGTTCCCGTGAACTGAGTTCCAGTGAAATATCTGACACAAGCCTGCCTAGCAGACTCTGTGATCTCAGTGCTTCGCTGAGCCTGCAAAAACTGGAAACTCCTTTTGATGCACTGGCAAAGGTGTTCTGTGCTTCTGAGAAGGCAGAGGCTTCAAAGCTGTGGCTTCCTACTACTTGTTCTATCATATATACCGTTCCCACTCCTTATATAACTTTACTTGAGAGGTGATACTGGAAAGCATCAATAAAGACCTTTATTTCTTTTTTAGTACTTCACCTGCCTGTTGCTGATTCTCATAGCACAGATAGCTGCCGGCCTGCTCATCTACTTCCAGCGCAATGCAGTAAGTGACTCTTTCCTCTCTTTCTCTCCTTTCTTTTTCTATTTGTTGACTTGGCTAACTAGTCAAAGGCTTTTGCTGGGTGCTCCTGGTCCTGATGCGGAGCATGGATTCCTCTCTGAGCAACGCCTTAATCACATCATCATCATCAGTTTCATTTCTGTACCACCTCTCTGGGCAGTTCACAACAATTTATCCAAAACAATAAAATACAACAGAAAACATGCGTGTAATAAAAACAACACAACTTTTCAACAAAGAATTTAAAACAGAATTGATAACAGTTTGAACAGCAAAAACAAGTGCAATGCAACTAAATTTGCTGAAAGAAAAACCAGCTGACCTACTTATATGTCTTTAAAGCCATTAGATGCCTCAGCATAGAGCAGTGAAAGGATACTAGACAGGGCTCAGCGGGAAGGTTGTTCTGTAATGGGGCAGGGGGGACACCACTGAGAAGGCCGTCTTCCTACTTTCTGCCATTCAAGCCTGCCTTGGAGGCCGTACTTAAAGGGCTCAGATGCTGAGCATAGTGTCTGAGTAAAGGAGAAGTGCTCTGACAGGTGCTGTGATCCCAAGCTGTTGCAACACCTTCAGTTTGGCTCAGAAGTCTATAGGCAGCCAGTGTGTGCAGGCCAGAATTGGTGCTACGTGTCCAGACCTTCCAATCCGAGTCATTAGTTTGGCTGCTGCATTTTGTGCAAGCTGCCACCTCCGAACAGTCTTTGCGTTGCTTTCCTTTTTTGTATATTTTAAATTTTGCTGTAAGATGTCTTGAATCTCTTTTGTTTGGAAAGGAGTTTAAGAAGTTTAAATGACAGTAATATATCACCATAATAAGTTCTCCCTATTCATCACAAATAAGCTTCAAGATATAGCCACTAAGAATGCAGTTTCAGGTTTTTCTGCAGCTGAATACCATATTTTACTTGCTTGTAGCATCACCTTGCTGCCTTATACATGTAAGAATGAATAAACCATGGTTTGCTGGAGGGGAAGAAGGAGTCAAACTTCATGATGTTATTTCAATGCAGACATTTTCAGAATCATTCTAGGCTGGGGTTTGGATCCACCATGGCATGCAGGACTTGATCTGCTTCTAGTACATCTTTGACCACTTTCTGCAGCTTATTATTTGTGGTCTTAAAGTGCTCTGGCATTGTAACTGTTGTTTCTAAAATCTTTCCTGGAGTTTTTGGGTCAGCTTTTTCCAACCTTGAGTTTTCAAGAGCTAGCCAGTGGATTCTGTAGGTTGTACTCAAACACATCTGTAGGGGCAGCAGGTTGGAGAAGGGTGTTTAAGGTTGGGGGTAGAAAACCATTGCATGTGATTTTACAAAATAATATTCTTATTTTACTATGTAGTTTTGCCCATGGGAAGTGAAACAGTATGTTCCACTCAAACCATCAGCTGATAGTGTCTGCTAACCTATAATAGTTGAAATGTCAGAACTGCAAATAAAACATAGTCCACGAGCTCAGCAAGGCTGGCTTATGGTCAAAGGCATCTTTTCCATGAATTTAGAATTTCTTCAAGAGCCCTGAAGAGAGTGGTTTAAAAATGGGAGAATTAGAATTTTTTATTTTAGTTTATTTAGGAGGTTTTCAAAGCTGCTTTCAACCATTCTTAAAACAGCAATAGAAAAAAATCACAAAAAATACCGAAACTGAGGGCAGGTGGCATTCACCAGTTTACATAGAATATTTGCTGAGTCTTGCAGGGGCGCAGGAAAACTTTTGATCTATTTTCTTTTCAGTTGTTATTTTTTGTTACTCAAGAGTTCGGATAATGAAGGCGTCTCTAAAAGACGATCTGCTAAATTAAAGGATATTTTAAGGAGCTAAGCAATCCTGATACTTTATTTCTTGCTTTTATCTCATTCTGCGCAGACTGGTAAATAGCAGCCCTTTGCCCCAGTAGGGATCATAGTGGGGCAGTTCATGTGACATGACAGGTCATGAGTTGCTAAGCAACAAACCATGGTTAACCATGGTTAGAACACAACAAACCATGGTTAACCATGGTTAGGAGTTTAGTCCCTAAACCACTCAGCATTCTGTGTTTGGATGACATGCTTAGCAGCTTATGATGGAGCTGCTCTTAATGAAAAGTAGAAGTGGTAAGTGGGTGAAGGCAGTGCATCAGTTTTCTCCCACTTATGCCCAGTAGCCCATAGGTTGCTTAAACCGTGGGCTGTTGTACCATGTTAACCAGTGTGTATGGAATCTGGGTGAAAATCAGTGTGAAGAATGCCACAATTCTATATTTTTATTTGGGACTAAGCCTCAGTGCTCTTAATGGAACTTACTTCTCAGCACATACAGTACGTATAGGAGAGGTGGGAAGATTGCGGCCCTCCCGTTGATTTGGCCTGCAATTCTCACCATCCATCACCACTGGCCATGCTGGCCAGGACTGATGAGAACTGAAGGTCAGAAGTTTTGGGGGGCCATGTTGCCCACCCAGGTGCAGAATTCTCTTCTGTGATACTCTGGAAATCTGCAATCCCGTTCATGCTTAACATGTTGGCGGTAACTAATTAAAAACACAACTGCTTCAGGCTGGAAAGTTCTGCATAAGGCATTATAAGCACTTCCCTATCTCATTATAGGCACCAGGGTATTTACCAGGGACAGTCCCTGCATTGGAGCCCCTGCTGTGCCTGTTTCACCTCTCTCTTCTGGTTTGGAATGTCTCTCTAGAGAAATAGAGTGCATCCTGTCCCGTACGTGCTGCGTGGACAGTGCCAAGTAGAACCCGGGCTGCCATTTCATACCTGCAGCTACGGTGTTGTCTATCAGGGTTAGCCTGTTTTGAGATAAATATGGGCCATCCTCCTCCCAGTTTTCAAATCATTGCAGAAGAGGCCAACACAGAGAAAACAAACTGAGCATCCCACACATGGAGTAAAGCTTTCACTGGCATGTAATGGTAGGAGTGGCTGGACAGCACTGCGGGGGCTTAAGCAGCTGCTGTTCTTGGGAGAACTGGGCCCTTCCCTCTGTGAAAAATAGGAGGTTTTGCAGGTAGCAATCCGGGCTTTCTGCAGTTGCCAAATTGACATACCAGAGCCTCTCCCTGGGGCCATGTCAAGGAAGGGGGAGGGGTGAAGAAAGGCTTTCATGTGCTTAAGTGTTTAATAATAACCTTCTGTGACCTTTTATGATCTCTTGCAGGGGTTGAACTTATTATGTGATTTTAACTGGCTGATTTATATTGTGTGTATATTTACAAGTTGTTTGGGTATTCCATATGTTATTGTGCACGGTAGGATGAGGGTAAGATCAGCCAGAAATCTTTCCTTGATGCGAAGGAAATACGTTGTTTGTTGAAATAAGTTGTAATGTAAAAGATTACAGGCATAACCTATCCTAAGTGAGATCAGGGAGGAAATGTGCAGCCTGCCATTTCCACATGTGATTTGCATGTGCCAGATAGAGTCATGTGGGAAGAGACAGTTGGGCTTTTTTGCCTCATGTTCTTCTTTGTTAGTGTTCTTTCAGGTTGGCATGGAGAATCTCTCTGGTGAACAAAGAGACTCTCTTCCGCCAGAAAGCCATATTTCAGGGCTGACCACCAGTAGGATACTTACGCCCATGCAAGTTTTTGTAGGTGTAATGGGGTTTTCTTGCAAGGATCCCACCTTCCCTGCTGTCCCCACCAGATCACCACCACCACCAAGCCTGAAGGCATTTAGGTTGCTCCAGAAGACTCCTTACTCTTCAAGGCATGTTTTTTTCTGAAGGACCAAAGATTGTTTCTCCATATAAATAACTTTTTACCGTTCTTTATCTTTGAGAGGGATGTGCTTGCAAACTTTCTGGAATGCAGTGTAGTTCAGTAACCTCTATGGCTCTCCCCTCCCTCCCTTTGTTTCTGGGGAGGCTTTGGTTTTAATGTGTCATATTTTCATCCATGTGGTAAAGATGGAAACCTGTGTGTATAGAAATGTTGCTGCAGAGTTGCTGTAGCAACAGAGGTCAGTCACAAAGCCTTGTTTTCCTTCTGGTGCATATTGTGGGGAAGCATCTTTGGAAATAACGCAGAGCTCCTCTTGGCAGGAAGTATTTGGCACACCAGTCTGCTCTCCCCACATATTTCTGGATGATGATGGTGGGCCCACTTATGGTTAGAATCTGGGCACTGGGAGGAAGAGCAAAGTCCCTTCCCCCCGCCCCCTTTCTTTCACTGGTCTGACTTCGAGTATTGGATAGCTCAGCATGATTATGGGGAAACAGAGCTTCCCATTGGTTTGTGTCATAAATGCATTGTAGCTTTTGTACTCACACTCTCTTTTTCTGAGGGTCATTTCTGGCATTAGGTTTTTCCTTGCTTTGCTTTCATCTATAGATTGTAAGACATGGATTTAAAGTGCCATACCTTCCAACTGCAAAAAGCAGTGGGCAGCCTTAATGCTTTCCAGGATCCCCTGCTGAATTCCTGTGAACCTCTAGCTCTTCTTGACCTCATGTTTTCTCCAAAGAAGGGGATGGTTTAAATTCTAGGTTTTTAGACCTGCGTATCCTCTAGGTGTCCCCATTGAAGGAGGTAAGGTGGATGGCTACCAGGAGAGTCTCACCAGGTGCTTCAGATTGTGGTCTTTTCAGTACCAGGCAAAGCCCTTTTTATTCTGCCAGGCATTTTATGTTCTAGATCTGGTTTTGCTCTTTTAGAGCTCTGCAGAGCTGCTAGCTTTTACATTCGCTTTATACTGTTGTTTTAATCTTTTAAAAATGTCACTGTGTTTTGTTAGGCTGTTGTATTTTGTAATTTTAACTGTTGTAACCTGCCCAGAGTGTTTCTGCTGTTCGACAGGCCAGAACAATACTACATGGATGCAGCTGCTGTCAATCTTCCCTATGGGTGAGAGTTGTATAGAAAAGCCACCCTTCCCTATGCTAGCTGTGCCAGCTGGGAGCTATATGCCAAGCTCTCTGGCAGTCCACAAGCTGCCCGGCACTGGCCTCAAGCCACACACATGGGGGCTCTCACCTGGTGATCTTGCTTGTTAACTTGGCATTTGAGCCCAGATCTCTCCAGCCAAAGCCCAACACCTCTATCATGGCACCTCACTACCTCAAGCTCAGTTAGTGCAGCACCTTTCTGTTAGCTGAAGTAGTCTGTAAATGTACCTGGTCCTAGCATGTCCTGTAAAATACAATCTGGAGGTTTTGTGCACTTTTCTTCTGGCACTCTTAGGTCAGACTGTGCCACGTTCCTGTATTGTAGGTGTGTGTTTTTAAAGCATAGGGCACCAGGCTGGTGGAAGGGACAGACAGTTCTCAGGATTTCAGCAGGTGTGGGATAGGGATGGTCCTCCCAATGCAAATTCCAGCCTTGAAGAAGGGATATTCCTTGGAAACGCTGCAGGGAAGGAGAAGGGTTAAAATCCCACCCTTCCTTACCTGATAATTCTCACCTGGAAACCACATCATGGTCATTTGTTTGTCTGTTTTTGTTTTTCAACTGTGGGTTGAATGTGATGTTCCTCTTAGGTGAGGTACAGCAGAAAAACATGGTGTTCTTTGTTCTTTTTAATGTTTGTATGTAAATTCTGCAGTGTTTGTTCTGATAATCCCTTTTCACTTTTTCACCCATGGTGGATCTTCTGGCTTTGCCACTACTAAATGAAGCAGAGATAGAAAGGGAGAAACTGGAGTTTCTCAAGTTTGACTTCTAGTCCAGTGAAGCAGTTTTAAATGGAAAGTTTTGACCTTCATAGTGCACAAGTCCTCATTCAGGAAGGGAATTGTGAAACATTTGTCTGACCTCATAACTGGGACTGCCAGACAGTAACCCAGACACTTGGGGCTTACATAGCTACAGGAGGTGAGTCCGCATTTTGCTGATGTGAGGCTTCCCATGCTCACACAATGACAATCCTCTGCCACGTACTTTGTAATATAAACTGGAAGGAAGGAGATTGGCTAATCTTTCCCAGTACTGCTAGCTGTTTGCAGTGCCCTGTAAAAACTATGAGTTGCAGGAAGGACTTGCTTCCAGTTGTTTTCTGTTCCCCCTCGCCTTCACCATTTTGGCTAAGTGCCACCCTAGGGTCAGGTAGTCTAATGTTCTTCCTTGCCTTTGATATCCCATTAGAACAGTTGGAGATTAGTGCTCTACTCTCAGAATTAAGTTTGTGCTATTTTCTGCTTCTTTGTAACCTCAGGTCTAATTTCTTTGCTCTACTTCCTATGGAGCCGTGTTAGCAGCTCTTCTCTCTGTCATAGTTACCCATTAAATAGCATCTTGCTGGTAGAATCTCTGAAACCAGAGGCACCATGTGAATTTACTGCTGTAACCTCTTGTCCTAGTTTCACTGAAGGTGAAAACTAGAATGCACTTCACAGCCTATGTGAAGTTTTGGGAAAAGGCTAATATGCAGGAGGAACTCTGAGCAAATGGATGGAGCACACTTTAAATAAAGGCACTTCGCTGTGTTTGATAGAGGACTGTGGTTTCACTTTTTAAAATAAAATAAAGTAACTGTATGTACAACATGTGTTATATTCACATTTAATTTTAACCAGTTTGGTTTCTTTAAACAACCTTGTGGTGTTGGATTAAAAAGCAACCCTAAACAATTAAAGATCATTTAATCCCCCATGCATAATAGCAGCTATTATGTACATCAGGGATATGGTTGGTGGGGCTTACGCATTTCAGAAAAGCAGCAAGTCCATCTGTGGCAGTACTTAATCAGAGAGAATGGGGCTTAGCCCATTTAGAAGTCACTTGTCCAGGCAGGGAAGGCTTCCCTGTCTTTGGAGAGAAGGATAGATCGCAGTTCCATGGTGTAGAAAAGGCACTCTTAAACACACTATTCTCATTCACAGCTTTCAAGACTCAGCCCTGCCAAGAAAAAGCATTTTCTGGGGCTTAGTTCTGTGGAAACCCAGCACAATTAATGCCTGCTTCATACCTAGGCAAACATGCTGAGCATTTGACTTGATTGTAGGTGGGGAGCACCACTCATCACAGCTGCCCTTGAAAACCAAGGCTTTCGAGATTGCAGTTAGAGGAAGAGCAAAATCCCCCGCCCCGCCCCGGGGCGCATTGCTTTCTATGGTTTATCACAAAGGCCGGTCACATTAGCTGCAGGAACCAGGTCAAGTTGCTTTGCTTTCATCCTTTCAGCCCCCACCCCCAACTGGGAGGAGAGTGGGTGTGTAGGGGCTGGCCCTGTGGCTTGAGTAACAAAGGGCTAGACATCAGCTGGAGGGGGGGGGAGCAGTTGCAAGATCTGCTTCCATCTGACTGCATGGCTGATAGGAGTGTTGGAGCAGATGATGCAGCCTCTGCGTGTGTTTGCTCCAAGGCCAGCTGTCTGTAAGGACTGCAGGCCCACCGCAGTGCTCCTTTGCCTGCCTGAGCAGAGTGTGAACCGCGTCAGGGTCAGCCAGCGAGAAGGACAGTATTCCAGAGACTGCCTGCGTGTGGCTGACCCACCTCTCTGTGGAAAGCGGATTGGGTTGTGTGGAAGCCTACGGCAAATGCTTCGGGTTGTGTGGAAGCCTACGGCAAATGCTTCAGGTGTTTGGATAGCACCAGCCCTGGGCCCTCTCCTTTGCTTTACTGTTGCTGAGGAGTTGGAAGAAGTGTGGTCTCTCAACAAGCTGGGAAGGACAAGGACAGCTGTGAAGCTAAGAGCGGTTACTAGGCCATCGCACTTAATGAGCTCAAGAAGTGGCATAAGCTGGGTGGTGGAAAGAAATCTGTTTACTGGCATGGGCAGGCACATCTGAAAAACCTGGGAGTAAAGAAACCCGGGACCCCGTTGCTAGGCCAACTTCATACCTTCGTATTAGAGTGTAAAGCTGATCCTAAAATGTACAGTTAACACCAGAACCTTTAAGTTCATGATCTGAGTTGACCTCTTACAGCTTTTAAGGCACTCATTACATAAAAAATTTGTAGTTTCTTTCTCTGAGGACTTGGGGCTTGCTTACTACAGCTGACTAAGTTGAACTTGTACTGGAACTGAGCCAGAGCCAAGCAGCCTTACCCCATATTGTTCTTTAAACAGAGCTATGGCCCTAAAAGCAGTCACTGTTTATTATTGTTAATTTTACAATCAAGTAAGTGTAAACTCCTTGCATGCCAGACCCAAGCATTCTGCATGCTCATTCATAGACCAGTATGGGCATGAACACAGGTGAAGACAGTTTTACACACAAGATTGCAACCCTTGCTTTGAGTATTACCTAAAATTGACACCCACATACTAAGTGGTTGTTTGGAGTCATGTGAATCTAATCATCTTTTCAAAACAACAACAACAAGGAGCCATTATGTTAATTGTGCCCCCGCTTTGGTGAGCATGATGGCTGGCCAGCCTGCCTCCCAATGCTCAAGATGCAAAGGTGGGTGGAGACCATCAGTGACTTTCCCAGCTCCAGAGTTGGAATGTGGTACAGTGACTATGTGGCCAAGGTATTTGAAAGCTCTGGCCGAGAATGGAAGAATTGAATGCCACTGCGAACAGACACTCAGGATGCCTTTGAGAAGCAGTGGTGAACTGGCACTCTCCCCACTGCCCACACCCCTAGGAAAAACTGTGAGGCGGTATAGCTATTGCTTGAAGTTGCTTGGGAATCGTTCAAGGAGTGGCATCGAGCCAAGCACATTCCACACCAGCCGTCCTTTGGGAGACGCCATGCAGAAGGACCTTATCTTGAAAGGAGCTGAAGGCTACAAGTTTTAGCTGCAGCAGGGCCCAGGATAATTTTTAGATTGTTTTTCTTTTAAATAAAGTTCTGTGTTGTGTATAGAATTCTTTACATTGTATTGAGAGACAAAGTGGTTGCGGCTGCTTTTCTAAAATTTGGTTCTGGCATATGTTCCAAGTAGCGTAATAAAGTTATGCATGTGTTCAGTCGGGTTACATTTTTGAATTCTAAAGGACAAGCATTGAGAGATCTATATTTTTTATGTTCCCTTCATCAGCTCAAAGCAGAAATGTCTGGGATTGTCGGGGAGCTCATCCAGAATTACAACCCTTACGATGACCATAACAGGACCCTTGAGACTGCCTGGGACTATGTGCAGACACAGGTAAGTTGCCATGCAAGAGCTGCTGTGGCAAGTCAAGGAAAGCCGTTCTGTCAACAGTGAAACAAATATTGTTTAACTTTGCTTTCAAGGAGGTGGTGGCCGTTGTCAGGCCACCAGCGATCGTGACATAAATTAATGGTGTTCTTCGAAGGATGACAGAAGCAGTATTCTGTGGGGTGGGGGGCGGGGTGTTGATGGGGCCTGCAGCAGATCCTTCTCAGTGGTACCTGACACCTCCTTCAGTGGTTAAAAAAAAGGCTCTCACCTATTGTTGCTCACCTTTCCAGGCATATATACGCATGCCCTGAAATTCACTTATCATTGAGATCTTTTCCTTGGCAGTAGTGCATCTAGCTAGATTTTCCCCACACATACATTTACTCAAAAGGGGTGTGTGTTATTACACAAGGATTACAGTGTAGAAACTATCAATCATGGGGATTTAACAAGTTGCGATAATAGGCCAGGTATATGAATTCAGCATGGATTCATATAAGGCAAACAGACATAAACTTATTGTGTGGTGCAAAAGAACCCCAGTATGGGAACTATTATTATCCGCACTCAGAGTTGGATGTGGGCCTGCTTGGCATCTAAACGGGGGGTTGCTGAGCATGGATGAGTAGGACTCAGATGTGTGTGATGATTCTGGGTTTGAATACGTGTGGCTGTGGTTCTAAAAGTTGCACAAGTTCAGGTAAAGCAGATCTGTTTCGCAGAGCATTCCGGAAGAAGGAGAGAAGGAAAAATGAGGGAAAGGGAGGGTGACAAAGCTGGGGAGAGAAAGAGGAGCAGTATCCATTTGTTTCCAACAACTGGCCATGAGCAGGGCTGATTCTTGCATAAAGGTACCTTGGCCAGAGAGGAGGGCAGGCTGAATGGGGCAGCTGTACTAAGCATACCAAAAGACCTTGACATAGGCCAGTAAGACTGAAGCTGGAACCTCGAGTTTTTACAGGGACAAACACTTCAGCCCCTTAGACAAAACAGAAAAAAGAGGAGCAGTTGCTTTTGGGCAAAGCAAAGAATGGTCTCTACAGGCTGGCTTTCTTTTCCCAAGATTTACTCAGATTTTTCCAGATCAAATCAAGATAGTATTTATGTGAAATTCTGACACTTGAAGTGGGGAACCGCTGGCCCCAGACTTATGACTCCTTATGCAACCCTTTTGGAAATATGTGGCTCCTTACCCTGGGTGTAGTCATGACTAGTTCTGATTAATGTGCCTAATCTAGTCATGAGGCATTTAATCTAGATGGGTTAACACTGCAGAATTTCTTTTCAGTGTACTTGACTAAAGCTAATGACTCCCTTTCACTTCTTCTCTTTTCTCTGCTGCTTCTGTGAGATCAATAAGCTTGTTTCACCCAGTGTGCCAGACTAGACTCCTTCAAGAGGCCACACCACTGCCAGGCAAACTACTGACACAGAGTTTCTTCTGGGCCTTTCTACTCCCTGCATGGCCTGCTGACCCTATCAGTGGTCATGCCATGGTGGGACAGCCTTTGCTTCCCCTCTGGATTGGCTGTGCAAAGCATGGGCAAAGGGCCACTTCACCCCTGAGTACTTTACAAGGGTTTAGGGTAGGGATGAGGAAGCTTCAGCCTTTGTGGGTCCCCACTCTGGCCTGCAGCACTTTCCCTGGCCTGCCTTCTCAACTCCTCCATAATCTGCATCCTTGTTGTGGCATGCTGGGAGGAGGAGGGTTTTAAACCTCCTCATCCAGCCCATTGTGGTGAGGACAGAAATAGCCCGCTCCTTGGTAACACGTGGATCCGCTGAAGAAGCAGGCTAGGATGGGAGGCAGTGGATGTGCCCATTTGAGCTCTGGCCACAGTCCCTGCTGGCCGGCAGCCCTCTGCAAGTTTCCCAGGGACAATCTGACCCCCAGGCCAAGAAAGTTTTCCACCCCTGCTTTAGAGTGAAGGAATGCATCTGTGCTGTTCCATGCGGAAAGCCATGTGTCTGCTCTGCCCGGCTTGTGCATTTCCTGGGTATGATAGGAGAGCCTCTTCAAGTGTAGCGAGAGAAGAAAAAGTAATCCCAGGTAGTTCACATGCCTGCCTGGTGACAAACACTGCACTGCACAAACCTACTCTGAGGCAGCACATTCACTGTGATGGCAACTCCTTGCAGTGATTTCTGTGGGTGAACCTCCACTTGGGATTTATCACTTCACTTCTGGGAGGGCTCAGAAGGCCCTGGTTGGATCCCCAGTGTCACCAGGCAGGGCTAAACATTTTCCTGCCTGCACCTTTGCAGAGCCAGGCCTGTCAGTGTCGAACATGCTGGGCTAAATGTTCCCAAGGCCTGACACTTCATAAGGCAGCATTCTCTATTCTATTCTATCCTCTATTCGGACACAAGCTACTTCATGCTTTTAACTGCGGATCAGTTCAAATGAACTGGTGGTTTCCATGCAACCATCTCAGGGCCACATGCCTTCCATGGAGCTGTCAGCTTGGAGGTACCATTTGTATGAACCGGTGAATGTCATACTTAGAGCCACCATGATTAGCGTGTTCATGACGGCCCCATTTCAGCCTAGGGTGTGTAGGCTGGCAAGCGTGTGCTGCCTCCAGATCATTAAGCAGTAGCGGATCTTTGCATTGTTGAAGGCTGATCTTTCCTGGCATGTGGTTTAGCTCATCCTTGGTGTATTGCTAGTTACAGTGGAGGTTTCTCTTATGTGTGTTTGCTGTTTTTTTAACACAAAGCTTTTAAATGGCAGAGATGGATTCTGAGCAATAAAAATCCCTCAGCTTTGTCAATTTCAAGAACATTGCGAGGCTTTTACTTAAACCTTCTGCAATCTTAAATAGTTCTTGAGTTGGGGATAACAGGAAAGCAGAAACCACAACTTAACATCTGGTGTGTTCACATGCGTGTGTTTCTTGGCAAGATCTTAGCATTAATCACGCCTGCACAGCTTGGGGCTTGCCAGGCTGAACGTGGCTCACCAACCATGTGATGCAGTCTCTGTTTGTGCAGTAGTGCAGTTAGGTCATTTTGACTCCTTCTTACAGCCACCAAACTTTAAAAATTACTCTTTCTTACATCACACACTTCAAACACGAAGCGCCCATGCATCCCAGTTGCACAATTCCTACAATTTCAAAGCCAAGAAAGACATCAGAGCAGCTCCAGCTTAGAAACACTGATGGAGTGTTTGAAAATGATAACAATAACACTTGTGATAATGGTAAGGCTAGCGGCATCTGTAACCACATGAATGTGGTTCACTAGTGATCATGTGTGGAACTGAAGCTGCAATACTATACCCAGCTGCCTGGAATTAAAGCCCACTGATTTCCGTGGGGACTTACTCCTGTTAGAAGCACTTGTCTGCTCTGAGAATTACGTGTATGCAGGATTATTTAGAAATACTTGTCTCATCTACACCTAGTACAAGATCAAGTGCTGTACCTGAGAATAGTCATTAGTGCTGAGTCACAGACTCCACTAAGAATTGCGTCTCCCTTTTCATGAGGCCAAATTTTCCAACCAAGCCAGCTATCCAGACCCAGCAAAACCTTTACACAATTGATATCTGATCAGACTGGGTGTGTGTGTACATTCATGTGTGTGCACATGTACAGCACAAATGTCGAGCAGCTTTGCTCTCTGCCCAGAGGCAGGTAAACAACTGAGCAATACTCAGAGTTTTCATATGCATTTGGTATCTGTATGATGTCACCACTAAGGCACATGCAATGCTAAGGCGTCCCAGCTAAGTGCCCTGTTGGAGGAAGTGGATCAGTGGGCTTGTAGACATGTCTTCATCCATCTTCCTTTTCCTAGTGCTTTTTCCTTATCATTGAACAATTGCACAACTTAGAGGTAAGGGGAGGAGAGTTCCTGGAAGAATGGCATGATTCCCATGCAGAGCCGAATGCCAGCTTTTTTCCCCCTAAATCACAGGCCATACCTCCTTGGTTAACACCCTGTACAATTGGAACACAACTCATTCCTAGTGACAGACCCCATTCCAGTTTTGTTTATTTAAATCCTGCCAGCTTCATCCATCTTCATTCCTGAAAATATAATTTTTGCTCATTTAATTCACTCCATATTCTACAGGAAGCTCATAATAGCCTTCCGGCCATTCAGCCCTCTTCACACCTAATGCATGTGTTCTATATGTCTTTGAATGTGATGTACTATTAAAGGGAACTCTCTCCAACCTCATGCCAATGGAAGATTGCAGGGCAGGTGTCATAGCTGCAGCCCAGTCCATTCCCCAGCTGCCACACCAAAAATCCACTCCACATTTTATAACCTTTCCTGTGCAATCACTAACTGGTCTACAGGGAAGGCAAGAGGACCCAGTGTTTGCATTTGCCTTACCAATCTAGGACCATTGCCAAAGAAGTACATCCATCCATGCCTCTTTCTTCTCTGAGGGGCTAAGTTTCCCTCCCCTCTCCAGACTTAGTGCTCTTCTGCCATGGCTGCAGCTATAGGAGAGAAACCCCCACTTCTCTGCTGCTCTCTCTGCCAAAGCTCTCTGTGCCCCCCCAGAAGTCCCAGCTGGGGTAGCGAAAAAACTTAGACAGAGATACTTTAAGATAAAGAACGAATTTTAGTAAGCTCTCCATGCAAGATGGAAAGTGGGCAGGAAGACTTGGGTGCTTATTGCCAACCATTTCTTGCAGTGGGGCTGACTGGTGGGCGGCCAGATTCCAGCTATCTGGGGATGGGTAGCTGTCCAGGCTACACACTAGCAGCTGGGCCTTGCCTTTCTCCCAGGATAGCCCAAACACACACATTTCCTCATACCTTTCCTCAAGGTTGGCATGCACACACACACTGACACACCAGGTGGGAGGCCTTTCCTCTGTCCTCATTCCCTCTGTGCCCTCTGGCATCTTTGCCTTTCTTCTGTTTGTGTCTTAGCTGCTGTCAAGCAAACAGGAAAGACTTGGGCATGGAGGGTGGAGGGAGGGAAGCAGGCACTGAGAAATAAAAGCAGCAAACACTGTGAGGGGCCCATCAAACTG